TTAAATTTTAATCAAATATTTAATGGATACTAGATTATGAGTGACCCGTGCTCTTTAAATTGTCAGTTTTTTTGCGATAGTGTTCTCCCAACGAATTTTGCACATTTTACACTCCGAAAGATTCTGTATTCGGATGATAGCGTTGTGTATTTTGTAACCCGTTGAAACTGCTCCCCAGTATTGTCATTGTTTTTACTGTTCAAAACTGCTCAGACAGAACAGAAACAAATATTTTGCCTATCAGAGTTTGTGCAAACTATAACTTGTTATTTTTATGCACTTGAAAGCAGCACGTTGAATACTAAAGGGACTAAAACTGAAAACGCTGCATGATTGTGTAATTAAAAGAAGATACGATGAACAGTCATTTATCCATTCAATCAATTACTCGTTTTACTTCTGTACTGGTCAGCGAGTCATGAAACAGTGCCGAGACCATGAAGAAAGGAACGAATGAACAGTCAAACAGTTTTAAGTGCCTGGTAATTGATTTAGCATGCGACGGCGGCACTGGTCCTGAAATAAACAAGCGCAAAGGACCGGCATTTAAGGATCTCGTCATGATGTATAAAATATTAAACAATTGAATAAACTATAAAAAACTAGCAGATTAAAAACAACTGTACTTCGCAATCTTCATACACACTTTGAGAATGTCAAGGTTCCTTAAGTGTCATGAGTCTCGTAAAAACAGCTTTCAGCTGTGTTCGAGCTATCCAAATAGTGTCATGGTACCACTTGATCAGGTGGTCGCAGAAAACTATCAGATGAACTCACGAACTCATCTCCCATTGCAAGATTTGGCATGGCGGCATAAATAAAGATCGATAATATGTGAAACACTTTTCTTGCTTGGGTATCATGCAATGACAAAAACGTGCTAGAAGACGACACAACACTTCAAAGCACTTCATGAGCATGAGGTGCTTGCGCAGTAGCAAACATTTCGTATCAATCTGAAATACCAGTTATAGTAATAAGACATTGTGCATCTGGATTAGTCTGCATTTAAGCTCTCTTAATGTCAGATGAAAAAACGACTACCATATGAATCATGATGCTTTCATTAGCCGCATACAACACCCAACAGATATCTGAAGGCGGGAGGAATGCAGGGGAAAGACAAGACAGAAGACCTACAAGTGACGGCAAGGAAGAGCAGCTTCGGAAGTGACCAGCCAACGCATTAGAAATGGCAAGACGTGCGATTCGACTTTTTGTTATAAGGAGTTTAGAACTGACAAAATGCATAAATCGCTTTTGACGTTGTCGCAACCAAAATCAGCAACTACACATCTTCCAACTAAGTTTACCAAGAACCAGTTTCGCTCACTGACCAAGCCAGCAAAATTCTTTTCGCAACAAGGGCTTGTTAAATAGTCGCGCATCGTTACAACCTAAAACGTGAAGCGATTTTGCCCCATTTCAATTTTTAGAACAGTGCTTTTTAACCTTAAACAATAACTGGTTTCTGGTAAACAGTCTGTTGCTCAATACCATTCAAAAGAAAGGGAGAGACTATTTTCTTTGTATGGCGCCAAAAAGTAGCGGATATGAGAGATCAAGAGCCTTTACTCGTTAACGAATTTGCGCACAATGAAACTTTATGGAAACTTTTTTGGATAGGCATGTTGCAATGATTTAGCCTGATAGCTTGCAAAGTACAGTTTCTAAGACACGGCTTCATCAGTGCTTTTTGAAGTATTCATAGACTTCACCCGTTTCCAATTATTGAATTAAACTATGAAGGGAACCGTTTTATGAAACAAAAAACAAGCCGGTTGCTCATGACAACCACCATTAATGATATTTCTCCAATTCCGACGACAATTGTATTAAAACGATTGTAAACCTGAAATGCTGTGGTTGTTCTAATGATAGTTGCGAATTTAGTTGGCTCTCAGAAGCGCCTTCTTTCAGGCCAACTCAAAGAACCAGTCCTATATCCAAACATTATATACGCTGAAGTTTCGTGGAACCAGGACCTGCTACAATAGTTCCCTAAACTTCTACAGATAACGTTCCGACCCTCATTCACGATTTGTAGAGTAAACTTCTGTACAGGACTATTGCAGCATTCCAACTTCAACTAGTCAGCGTCAGAGATTATTCAAGGGTAGGAAGCAAAATTATTCTACTGTTTCTCCTATGACTCGGCCAAGTCAGGGTCGTGGCCTCAACTCTTACAGATTCAATCCGAGGTAGCGACACTACGAAAAACTTTCGCCCTTCTTTACCGTATGGACGAATACGGTAAGAAGACCTTCACTTGAAGGTTCTATGGATGCCACGTTC